GGGGCTAAGCTAACTTTGTACAGCCTCCTTCCCCTAAAAAAAAACCTAATGTTTTACGTATACTCCATATTATAAGTGTCAATTAAGTGCCCAATTTAAACAAAAGCTTTAGCACTCCCCCCCCCAAATCTCAAAAACTATTTGTGCCTATTAAAGATAGTAATAATATAATAATGATAGCACCATTAAATTTTGATCACAGACTACAAATTTGTTAACATGACACTGGACCATAAATAAGTGCAATGGTATGTCTATTAATTTGTATACCCATAATCCATATGCTGTATACCAGTATACCCATAAATTTTAGTGATACTATATTAACTGCAGTGTAGATACGACCTATTGTATTAGAGTACTTCTGCTATGCACTTACCACAAAATACCAAATATATAATATATATCGCACTCATAATGACTAAAGTGCAACTATAAAATTAGGTACTATAGTGGGTTATGTACAATAAATAAAGTTTCATTGATGTTTAGTAATATCGTTTATGTTCTACCACATCAGTTGCATCAACATTCCAATGGGGTTGATGAGCTTGGAGCCAAGAGACAGCGTCGGAAAATGATTTTTTATTCAACAGAATATACTCCGTGACTATTTCGGTAAAAACTCTACAAGCTTTATTATCTGAGAAAAAATTAATATCACTGACAGACACAGAAACTTCCCGTAGATATCAAAAAAAAATATTAATATTAAAACAACATTTTCTTGTTGTTTTTCAGATCCATTATCAAATGATTAGATACTTTTCGACATAACTCATACAACATAAACGTCATAAACAAATCAAGTATTCAAATAAAATAAAGCAAACCTGTTCGATAGTGTTATGCTTATTATAATATAAACAGTCATGAATAATAAGATGGATAAACGTTTTCATGAAGAATATTTCTCACTTATTATTTGTTTTATAGTTCAGATAAAGAGATAACAGTAATTTTTCACCGATTTCCAAATTGAAAATTAATAATTATTATAATAACATGAAACATCTTATGATAAAATAAATGAGACAATAACGAGCTATTATATCGCAGAAGCAGACGTTGTAACAAATGAGTATCTATCTCATGATTTATTCTTTGATGGCTTAAACGAATTGAAAGTTCGTAACTTTTATGTAATTGTCTTAACACGCATATTAATTAAACGTTATTAAACGTGTTTATATCGTCAATATACTGAATTGTAAACATTGGTTTACCAACAAAAAATTGTATTACCTATTTTATTTTACGCATAATTAAAATTTTACGAATKACAATAATCTGTTCGACTGTTGTTAGTGTTTGGATTTTCCATTGTGACAAAAATATTTTTAATTCAACCACATTATACAAAGTATGCTATTTTTACTGATAAATAAAAAATATTTCATAAAATATTTGAACAGGGTTGTCATTGTATCATCGGATATTTTATGCATTTACAAGTGAGAGAAATTTATTGGTTTAAAGAAAAGTTGTTTTAACACTTTTTACCAACATAAGGTATACTTTTAATATTTATTAACGTGAAATTTGAAGGTCAAAAATATAATTATTCATATGATAAAATTTCCAAATAGATTAAAGTTAATTTTTTAATTATTAAAACAACAAAAATGAAATATAATATTTAGTGTTTTCGGTATTCTAATTTTAAAGTAATTGTAAATTAATGAATACCCAAATTTAAATGCTAACAGAACCTCCATTGCGCTAATTAATAATTATTACTTATTAAAAGTAATATTATTGTTATTTAATAATAATTTTATCAACTCGTTAAATTTGATAACTTTTTTTAACTATCTTAATATTTAATCACATGATATTATAAAACAAATTTTGGAACTAAGATTTTAAACAATTTTAAAGGAAGTCGTAATTTCTTCGCAGCAAGAAGGTGATTATTTTTTTAATAAACTTTCCAAAATGATTTATATCTTTTTACTGCCTATACATGTTTATATAGTGTACTTACTTCCTACTGATCTACTAGTTGCAATATTATAGCACTAAAGTATCATTAATATTATATCGGTACTTAACAAATAGGGTCAAACGCTAACATAATATTATATAAGAATAGGTGATTTGTAATTTTTACCGTTACATCAGTAATTTATACTGATCTAGTTTATATACTTAATACCTAACCAAGTTGGTATTATTATTTCTGTTACAACTTATAACCTTTAATATATTATATATAATAAGAGAGAGAGAGTCAACTGCTTGAAATTCTAGTTAAAAATTCAACTAATTTTTAATAATTTATTTTCTTCAAATAAAATGTCTATTTTTTTTTTCATATACAATATTTTAAATGATTCGTATCTTTATAATTATGTATATCTGTAATGTTCTTACTCCTTACTGGTCTCAATATTATGCTTTTTTTTTAATTATAAAGTGTATCTAACATACAAGGTCATAAAACTTATTAATAATATAATAGAAAATATAACACATATAATTGGTAAGCATAAATTAATTACAATATTTACAACAAATTGCAGTATAATTTACATCTATAAATAAATAAATAATGATACAAGAAAGAATAGTTGATTAAACTAGGTGTCTAGGTGTAGTRATTTCCTTTTTTTTTGTTTTTATTGATATTATTGGTATTGAGTAAGGGCATCATGAGGACGTCCACGCTTGAGACGCCGGAGGGTAGGCTTATCAACATTATACATTTATACTAATATGTTATCATTAATGTATTATTTTACTGATACCTATCAAATAGAGTCAAGCGCTGACATAATGGGTGTT